TTGTCTCCTTCCTTGGCCTCAGCTTTGGATGGGGAATCCCAACAAAAGGCCCCAGTTCTAGGCCCTGGGCCTTTCCCTGCCCACTTCCTCCTCGGGCTGCCCCTCACTGCGGCCACCACAGCCACAGGAGGACTCGGGAGGCTGATGGCTCCCTCCTCCTAAGAGGGACCACGAAGTAGTCACAAGTATGGGCTGGGACTTACCCAGAGCCCTGGAACCACATGTGTAGCAGGCTCACTCCACTCCTCCTTTCGGCTTAATCATGCAGGAGGATTAACAGCAACAACAACAAACACTAACTGTTATTGTCCCCTGTACGAGCCTAAGCACCTTATTATCTTTTTAAAAAAGATCTAATTGGCTTTATTGAGAGATTCATGAATCAGGCAGCATCCCATCTAGCACTTTATTTATTTGTTTAAAAATATATTTTTATTTATTTCAGAGAGGTAGGGAGAGGGAGAGAGTGATAGAAACATCAATGATGAGAATAATTGATTGGTTGCCTCCTACATGCCCCCCTACTGGGGATTGAGCCCGCAACCTGGGCATGTGCCCATGTCCAGAATTGAACCCAGGATCCTTCAGTCTTTAGGCGGACGCTCTATCCACTGAGCCAAACCGGCTAGGGCTCTAGACACTTTAGACACACTAACTCCAGTGAGGGAGGCACCGCTATCATTCCCATTGTAGGATCCTGGTGCCCAAAGTCACACAGGGAGAAAAAGCAGCCCTGGGGTTCCATCACAGGCTGTGTTGCTCCTGCAGTCTGTGCTCCAGCACGATGCTAAGGAGGGAACCGCCAAACAGGAAGACAAGGAGAAAGGTAGGTTCAGCGAAGCAACATGGCAAAAATACATATTACTGCTGCTCTCCTGTTACTGTCTGGGTTTGGGGCAGGGAGACCTCAGAGACCAGAGGTATGGGGAGTAATATAAAGAAAGAGCAAAACAAAACGCATTCAGTGAGTGAACACGAATCAAGGTTAGAAAAGTTATGTTACCTAAAGGATTTTTGGTTTGGGTTTTGATAGTTTTTTTCAGCAAAGCTGGGTACTGAACTTTCTAAAAGTTTAAAAATGAAAAATGAGCCTGAATGGCATGGTTCAGTGGTTGATCATTGACCTATGAACCAGGAGGTCATGGTTCAATTCCCGGTCAGGGCACATGTCCGAGTTGTGGGCTTGATCTCCAGTGCGGGGGAGTGCAGGAGGCAGTCTATCAATGATTCTCTCTCATCGTTGATGTTTCTATCTCTCTCTCCCTCTCCCTTCCTCTCTGAAATCAATAACATATATATATATATATATATATATATATATATATATATATTTTTTTTTTTTTTTTTTTTTTAATGGAAACTGGGATTCTACTGCATGTCTCTGGGAGGAAGTCGCAAACCCAGAGGAATAAGCTACCTCCATTCCTAAGTGCCCTGGCTGGTCCCTTGGTCTCCTAATCAGAAAGGAGACATGCCCCCAGACTCGATGTCCTGGTTCCATTGGGAAGGCTTGTGCTTTCTGACCGAGTTCCAAGAAGCTGGGTGGCTGGGGGGTGGGTTGGGTTGGAGAGAGGATTGCCCTGGAAAGGATTGCCCTGGAGGCTGGGGCAGAGAGATGGAAAGAAGCAGATGGGCAAAGGAGAAGAGCAGAACTTCCAGACTCTCCATCAGTCCAGCCCGATTCCCTCTTCCTCCAAGAAGCCTTCCTGATCAGCCTGACCTTGCACAATGCTCCCCACTTGCACTTCTAGAGCACATATTGACGTGTAACACGCTCAGCGCATCCCTACTCCCCACTTCCAGCTTCTTTCCTGAGGTAGGTGTTAAAATGTCAAGTCCATTTGGCCCTTGGGTTTCTAAAGGATTGTAGTAGCTAACTAGTGTCTAGGAGAGTTCCCATAGCCCGGTTACTCTCATTAAGAGGCAGGACTACACAAGTCCACACAAGGCTCATGTGTGTCCCTCTCCCATGACCTCAAGAGAGCACCCAGGGTGTTTGCAGCCCCAGAAGCACCTGCTGAGAACATCTGAGAAAGGGTGCTTGGAGAGCAGTAGGTAGCCCACACGACTTCACCCTTTCTGCAGTCAATAGAATGTGCTAAATATTTGATCTGGGGAGTCTATGAGGTTGTTTCTTTCCTCTTTGAGATTCCTACCCTTTCTTTCCCACTGGACAGTGCACCATGGGAGGGGGTCACTAAGGTTTGCTATATAAATTAACAACTGTACACACTCTATAACCTTAGACTCTAGCAGTTCACCAAAATCTAGGCCCTCTGCTTCTGCTTGGACACAGGTGTGGACCACATTTCCCAGTCTCCCTTGCAGTTGGGTGTGGTCACATGACTGGTTCTAGCCAATGGAATACAAGCACAAGTAACACTTCCAGGATTGGACTTGGTAAATCCGCCCACAAGCCTCCTCCAGGTGGTTTCCCCTGCCAGCCTATTGGGTGGAGTCAACCATGGGAAACTGGAAGCTGTGTGCTGAAGGTGGCAGGGCCTCCATTAGCCTTACCCATGGACCAGGAATGGTGCATATGAGTGGGAAACTAGCCTCTTCTATGGTTAAGCCATTAGACCTTTTTATCATCATCCCAGCAGCTGGCTGATCTCCCACCTCCACGTTCTGCGTAGCCTAGCTCCATCTGACTGACAGCCACCCAATATGGTTTCCCTATTGTCTCCTCCCTCCACTCCAACCTAAGCTCTGAGAGGCAGGGACTGGGTTTTGTTTCTTGTGTGTCCCCAGTGGGAGGACAGTGCCTGACACAGAGTAGATGCTTCATAACAATCTGTTGGACACACGAGTGAGAGAGTTCCGTTTTACCCATTCTTCCTGAGTCCTGGTCTCCGTAGGCAGGATCCTAGGACAGCAAGAGCGGGAACCAGCCTCTGCCTTCAGTTTCTCCTCCAACCCCAAGCTAGAAAATCAGCCTTTATCTCACACACTACCCTCAGCACCCAGCCTGGGCCCCCTCCTGCGTGGCACCCTCTCAAATCCTTCCCACCATGGTCTGTGAGGAACCTGCTGAAGAAATAAATGCAGTCCCCGAAGATAAGATGCTAAGTTACCAAACTCAAGCAGGCGGAGGCCTGAGGAAGCGATTCTATTCTTATTCTCACGAGCCTGGAACGTAGACGCTCTGAACTTTCCAGTCCTGCATCGAAGCCTGGCTATACATCTGCACACATTCCGACCTCCAGATAACCTTCCGATGATCTCCCTAAGGGCTCGTGTGCTCAGACCACATGATATCACCCTGACCACTGGACATGACCAGACCTCCTAGCATCCATCCTCCAGGTCACCTGACATCGGTAATGGCCCTGGAGGACCGCTAGGAATGCAGGGCCAGAATGTGCTTTATACGTTAAGAATTCTCAACTTTTCTGTCTTCTTTGGAACATTTCTGGGTTGTTGCCTGGCCTGTGGACTGAATCACTATCATTTATTTCTAGCCGAATCCTCCAGACTCTTTGAATTCATTCAATAACCGTGGCCTCTGTGCCCCTCAGCCCAGGGCACAGTCACACCTGTCACACTGCACAGCGAGTGCGGATGTCTGTCTTTATCACCCACCATGCCCCACCCGCTGTTAGACTGGGAGACCCTGGAAGCCAGGGCTCTCTTATTCATCTTGGCATAGTCCCAGTGGTGGGCATAAGTGCCTCTTAGGAAACAAGCATTCCCAAATATTTAGTAAATGTTTAAAAATATTTAGATAATAGTTATCCTATATAATAAAGATATAATATGCAAATGGTCATTACGCCATGAAGCATAACGACCGACCACATAACAACTGGATCACAAATCAGCAGGAGGGTGGGGCAGAGAGCTACCAGTGGGGGGAGGAGAACTACAGCAAGCTATGAGGGAGGGCAGGGGGAGCTATGGGAGGGCGGCAGTGAGCTATTGGAGAGCTTCTGGTGCACGAATTCATGCACAGGGCTACTAGTGTAAACATAAATTACTTAAGTATATACTATATAAGTATGTTATATACTTATAATACTTATATACTACTTAATAAATATTTTATTTATTTATTATTATTATTATTATTTTATTTTTATTTTTTTTTTGGTTAATCCTCATCCGAGGATATTTTTCCACTGATTTTTAGAGAGAGTGGAGGCGGAGGGAGAGACACACAGAGAGAAACATCAATGTGAGAGAGACACATTGATTTGTTGCATCCTGCACTCATCAATTGGGGCCAGGGGTTGAGCCTGCAACTGAGGTATGTGTCCTTGACTGGAATTAAGCCTGTGACCCTTCTGTCAGCAGGCAATGCTTTATCCATTGAGCCAAACCAGCTAGGGCTATTTTCTTTCCTTTAACTGTTGTCACTATTGCTAACTAAGAGTAAAAAAGCTGTCCACACTCCCTGGATCTAGTTATAAGAGGATGTAAGCTGGTACTTGGAATATTCTTCAGATTCTTCTAACATGCCTTTGGGCCCTTAATATGGGGCATGGCCCACGAGAGGAGGGGGAAGCCCAAACGCTCTTATTGTGTCTTGGTACAAACCCACCCTGGATTGGAGGTCCCTAAACATTTCCCCATTGAGGTGCAAGCCCAGCCCCATGCACACATAGGGGTTTTGTCTTTCAAAGCGCTTGCTCCTTGAGGCGACTGCGTGCCCATTTGACAGATGAGAAAACAGAGGCCCAGAGAGGATCAGTGACTTGTCCGAGATCATGAGTGTGTCTGGGCTGTCACCACGCCCCAGGGCCCCAGACGTTCCTGCTCCATCTCTCCCCTCTCTCCAGCCTGAGCGGACAGGAGGAAACCCCACAGCGGCCTCCAGGAAGCCAGCCAGCAGGCAGCGACACAGGGAGCGGAAACTGACAGTGACCCGGCAATCGCGTCCGCGCTGAGAACTTCCCCTGGTTCTAATTCTGCACCCCTCCGGACTGAGGGGGGGGCTCTGTGGTTAGGGGTGCAGCATCTGCTGCTGTGGTCGGAGGCCGAGCAGAAGGGCGGGTACTCACTCGACTTTTCTTCTCTGATGGTGTACTCGAGCACCTCGGACGAGCTCCCGTTCCGGGAAGGGAAGTGGACACAGAGCACCAGGTGCTTCGAGCCGCCGTCCCTACGCACCAGGAAGGTCTGCAACAGAGAAGGGGGCTGTGTGAACCCGACAGGATAACAGAGAGAGGGAGTCATCTGGAATGTTCCAGAAACAAGCAGGCAGGCGGACAGTCAAGCATCTCTCAGGAAAATGGGGGATTCTGGCCAACGAGCCATGTGTCACCCAGCCCATGTCCCCCAGCTCCCGAGTCTCATTTTCTCATTTGCCCACAGAGCGGGGTTCCACTAAATCGTTGTTTCCCCAAGAATTCTGTGCTGGAGACAGGGTTAGGCAGGAGGGGTTTAACACGCAGAGTCCCATGTCCCACCTCCGAGATGCTGGTTCGGTTGGAGGGGGGGTGTCCCAGAATCAGCTGATTCCGACCTGGGTGGTGGTCCAGGGTCCACACTTAGGAGAGTCCTAACGTACATGAGTCAGGTTGAATGTCAGCTTTCTGGGGAGGCCGGTGGACGCGGTCACAGACATGGGTCCATTCACACTATTGTCCCCACAGAAATGAAAATAGCTAACGATTACCCTAGAGCTTTCTCTGTGACAGGAACTGTGATGAATACTTTGCATACATTCACTTGCTCCTTCCTATCAATAACCCTCTGACGTGAGCTGTGTTGTCCCCATTTCACAGATGAAGAAACGGAGGCGCTCGCAGATCCTGACGGGGCCCCTCTCCTCTGGCTGCTGTGATGCCTGAGTGCATGCCCATCGGGACCTGGCTCCCCAGGTGGGACTGTCCTTTCTCCTCCTGCGGGTTTGCTGGGGTCAAACGAGACGCGGCCGCTCAGCCTGGAGGATGCGTCTCTCTCTCTAGTAACTGAGGCGTCACCAGACTCTAAACCAGAGCTGGTGTCTACAGCCCCCCACTTCTGCTTTGCTGGTGCTTCTGCTCCATGAAGGGGCGGCACTTTACCCTGGTTCATTCACAAACTCTTGGTTTCAAATGTCCTTTTTAGCCTCTGCCCTCCTTCCAGGAGAGGATCGACACCTTCTAGAATGTCCCCAGCCTCCAGGGGCACAGCGTCCCCCGAGGAGGGGGGCTGGGTGTCCTTAGCCAAGGAAAGATCATTCCTTCCTTTCCTGAGAAAGGAGTTGGTCACGGAGGCGCTGCCCCTCCCCCCACATCCCACCCAGGTCCAGAGCTGGGAAGACCAGGAGTCCCGCCAAAGCTGCAGAGGGAAGGTGGGGTGGAGGGCCCGGGGGAGAGGGGGGCTGGGACAGCTCCGAGATGTTGGCCCACACATGAGGGGCTCTGGAGGACCACTGAGACAGCCCTTCCCCCTTTATCCCACTGAGGCCCACGTTTCTACCAGCCCCCCAGTGATGCTCCACATTCTCTGCCATTGTTATTATGATCATATTACTTTGTTATTAACACAATGTTGCTATAACGGTTAATGAAGCATAATAATATCGTTATTACTGATAGTAACAGCTAACTCGTATCACCTCCCTCCTCCGCCCCAAGCCCTAACACCAGTTCCTCAGAGTCCACAGTCTTAGTTCTCTTACTAATACATGGGGGTGGGTGCTGTGATTATCCCCATCTTACAGGGAAGGAAACTGGAGAGCATTCCGTCATGCCCAAGGCCGCAAGGTGAGGAAGTGCTGGCCCTGGATCTGAGCTCAGGCCTTACCTCTGGGTCCCGAGCACCAAGCACTGCCTCTACCCTCCGCCAGCCCAGAGGGTGCCCTTGCCTGAAGGCTGTGCTCTCCCTGAGGGAGCCTGTCCCCCTGGGAGCAGTGACACAAAGAGCCCCTTAGTCATTGAACGGGGGCTGCCAATGAGTTCACCAGCCCCTCTCCTGGAGCACGCAGAGGTGTGAGAACTCGAAAGGACGGGAGGGTGGGAGGGAGGCTTCCGGGGCAGAGATGAGGAGCAGGCGGAGTGCTGCCTGCAAAGGAGCCCACGCTGGAGGGCCCCCCACCCCCAGGGGACCCAGCAGGAAGGCGGCTCCCTTCCAGAGGCCGCTGTCCTCTGCTCCACGGTGACCTGGGCTCCCAGAACGCCTGGCCTTGCTCTGAGCTGAGCCAGGAGCACGCGGTCTTTCAGAGAAAGGAGGTCACTCTGCCCCTTCCTCCGAGGACCAAGTGGGAACCAGTGATCAAGGGAACGGGAGAGAGTGTGTGTGTGTGTGTGAGAAAGAGAGTGGGGGTGATTTACGAAAATACATCTGGCCTTTGTCCCCCTTTCCTGGCAAAGCTTCAGAAATCCCTGGAATTTCCTGAGTGACGGAATAGGAGTGTCTTCTGTCATTCACAAATAGCCCCTCGCTGCCACACCTGAGTTTAAGCTAACAGGTGACTCCTGGTGGGCCCTGAGTTTCAAAGGGGGTTGGAATTGCAGCCTCCTCCCTTCCCCTGACACCCCCCCCGCCTCAATCCTCCCCATAGACCTCTGTAGCCAGGAGCTCAGAGGAGCCCTGCTTGGTGACACATTGGTGTACTGGGAGGGTGATGGGCCCAGACCCACCAGGAGGGGGCCTGGGGCTTGCATGAGGGCTTGTCAGAGGCCAGCAGGGGAGCAGCCAGCTGTGAGTTCTGTGGGCCTGGGAAATTCCATGGCTTCCCTGAGCCTCAGTGTTCTGGTCTGCAAATGGGGTTACTAACACCGAAGACCACCCACAGAAGCCAGAAAGGAAGTCAAAGCCCTCAGGGTTGGGAGAAGTACCTGAGATACTGCCCAGGAACATGCCCTTCGGGACAAGTGGGTCTCCACAGACGACCCCACCCCCACCCCGCTGCTGGCCTTTGTTCCTCGGTCTCCATCTAGAACCACACGTGCTGTGCTTACTGTGGAGAGAAGGAGGAGGGGCTTTCTGGAGAGAGGGAACCAGTCGGGAGGAAGGAGCCACAAGTTAAAAGAGCGGCTAAGGCCTGCGCTCCGGCCCGGGCACCTGACACCGGGCATCACCCCGTTCTCACCACAGGTCTCTGGAGCTGGTTCTATTACTGCTCCCTCTGATGGATGAAGGTGTGGGGCACAGACAGACCGAAGGAACCCAGGGCCATGTGGACAGGAAGTACAGACACAGGATGCAGCCCCAGGTGTCACCGTGAGCATCTCGCTTATCTCTTGCCATCACCTGCGTGATCTAGTACTTACTTCCTCGGGGGCCGGCGTGAGGGGGTGGTGTGAGAGGTGGTACGCTCCTCTGGCTGGTCTCTGACAAGCCCTCAGTTCTGAACCCGAAGTCCCCCCTCTGTCAGCATGGCTACAGCCTCACCAAGCACCTCCTCTGCCGTGGCCGAGTCCTGGGCTTCTCATCTGAGGAGCCAAGACAGGCCCTGGGGGAAAGCGGGTGAGGGTATAAGAGACTGCCGGTTAGTGGGGAGGGGGCACTCACAGGTGCCTGCTGTGGGCAGAACTCCACCAAGTGGTCTATTCTGGCCACTGTCCTTTGGAATAAGAGGGCCCGCTCCTCCTTCCCCTTCAGGGAGCTTTAGCTGCTCAGCTAGTCACAGAGTCACTTCTGGGAAGTAACCACAGTGTGAAAACAGGGTCTCTGTGCAGCATGGTGGGGAAGCGCGGCAGAGCAGGGACTCCTGCAAAGCATTCTAAGTTGTAGCGAATCTCCTGGGCTCACACCCGGGGGAGTGCAGCCAAGGCCATTGCTAGGAGGGAGACCACCAAGGCCATTGCTAGGAGGGAGACCACCAATTCTCCTGGTCCCCACCTTCACTGGTTGCCCACGTGTTATCCTCTAAAGAGATGCTTCCCACAGAGGGGGCAAAAGTGCTGGGTGGGCCACCCAAAGCTCTTCCTCCAACACCCTTGAGGGTTCCATGTGCAAATTCTCCAAGCCCCCCTTGCTTCTCTTTCTCTATCCCCTGCAAGAAGCTTTGGAGGCTTGCTTGGACCAAAAGAATGCAGCAGAAGTGATGCTTGGTGTTCTGAGCCAGGCCTCAGAGGCATGTCAGTTTCCACACTCACCCTTCGGATCACAGCCAGGTGAAGACCCTGCGGGAGCCAGCGGGCCCAGCCAACAGCAGGCACAGCCACTGGACACGTGAGTGAAGTCATCTCAGGACAGCCAGCTCGTCACACTGCCAGACAATGTGACTGCATGCTGACCCCGGGAGAGATGGGCAGAAGAACCGCTCAGCAGAACTCAGCCCAAACTGCTGACCCACAGAATCATGAGCAAATCCCATGGTGACTGTTGTAAGTCACTGAATTTTGGAGCAGTTTGTTAAGCAACAGAAGGTAATGACATAGCCATCGGGTAGACAAACATGCAGCCTCAACTTCTGGGTGCCCTCTTCCTCTCTTCCTTTTATGAGGATTTTGTGTTAAGGCCCATGGGCTGGACATTCCCTACCCCAGGTACTGTCCCAGCACAGTCAGACCACAAGAGGCTTTCACAAAAGTGAGTTTAGCTTCACAGGTAAATGACTGCAGTGCCAGAGGCAGGGTCAGCGGTCCCGGGAGCCCCTTCCTGCTATCTTTGCCAGCGGGGGTTGGAAAGACCAGCTGATTCCAGTAACTGTTGGCACAGGGATGCTTAGGGAGAGAAGTCTGCAGCCACTGCGCCCCTCCTCCTCCCCACACAAACGTCTGAAAACCCAACACTCGATACTCTAAATGGTTTTGTGTTCACTCGCCATTGTTGGCCTGGACAATCCCGAGCTGTCTGCTTTCCCACTTTGGTTACTGTAGGACTATTTTCCAGTTGCTTGGGGAGATTTTATAATCAGGCCCAGCAGGGCAGGAGTGGTTAGCCTTCCTGAGGCCACGGGTGCAGGGGCTGCCTCGCCTGTGGAGGTCGGCGATTGAGTTGCCAGAGCCCGCTTTGGATGCACGTGGCCCACCTTCCCATGGCTGACCCCGGAGCTGTGTCCTGGCCTGGAGTGGAGTTTCTCAATCCTGGCTGCAGAACAGAATCACCTGGGGAGCTTTTAAAGCCTATCGGTGCCTAAGCCCCTTTCCAAGCCAAAGAATCAGCATTTCTAAGGCTGAGGCTGAGACATGGTGGTTTTTAAAACAGATTTTTATTGATTTCAGAGAGGAAGGGAGAGAGGGAGAGGGATAGAATCATCAATGAGGAGGGAGGATCACTGATGGCCTGCCTCCTGCAAGACCCCTACTGGGGATTATGCCCACAAGTCAGGCATGTTACTGACCAGGAATAGAACAGTGACCTGCTGGTTCATAGGTTGATGCTCAACCACTGAGCCAAGCCAGTTAGGCTGTGTGGTTTTTTAAAAGCTTTTGAAGGCACTCACTCATTGCTGGCTCTATTCCTCAGTCAAGCTCCTTACCATCACAGTGGAGTTTCCTTAGTTATGAACTAGAGAGCCCGCCCCTGTTCTGCAGGGCTGTTGGAGAGATGAGAGACAGTGCATGGCACAGAACAGACCTGTAGTAACTGCTAACTGTGAGCTCTTCCCTGGCCCCAGCAAGAGAAGGGGCAAGAAAGGGCTTCAGTGATGCTTCCACCAAACTAACATGGATCAGAAGTGTCATCCTTGGACTCACACCTGAGAAGGTGCCCTGGACCTCCCACATGGCTATTCTGCATCACAGCTCAAGTTCCTGCAACTCTTCAGCTTATCTTCTCTCCCCACCACCACCTCCCACATCACCACAGGCATTTTATAGGGAGTCTGTCATTAAACACCACCTGTGGGCCTGGAAGCAAGGACACTCCAGCAGCAATGAACACACATGGCCTTGTGATCTTGGTTTCAAATACTACCCTCCAGTAAAAGGAATGAAGGCTCCTGGAGAAATGGCTGGTTCTAGAACTGGGGCAAAAAATATGAGAGCCTTGGCTGGTTTGGCTCAGTGGATAGAACACTGGCCTGAGGACAAAAGGGTCCCAGGTACAATTCTGGTCAAGGGCACATATCTGGGTTGCAGACTCAGTCCCCAGCCCTGGTCCAGGCACGTGCTGGAGGTAACCAAACAATGTGTCTCTCTCACATTGATGTTTCTCTCTATCTCTCCCCCTCCTTTCCATTATCTCTTAAAAAAAAAAAAAAAAAAAAAAAGGAAAGAAAATCAATGGAAAAATATCCTTGGGTGAGGATTAATAAGAAAATACAAGATAAGCCTGGAGCATCTTGTAGTGACAGAAAGTAAGGGAGGACTCCAAAAACTAATGAGTAAACAAAACCAAACACAATGGGGGAATGTTAAAGAGACACAGGAGCCCATGGAGAGACTCCCAGTGGCCAACACTGGAGTAATTCGAGCAAGAAAATAATGAAAGTAGTATTGCATTGTCACCCCAAGCATAAAATAAATATCCTGAGTCCATATTGCTTCAAGCCAATGACTGAATAAATAAGTAAACAGGGAAGAAGAGACACATGTCTTAGGCAGAAGAATTGCAAATAATTTATGTAGCTTCTCAAAGAGGTGGAGAGTGACTTCTTCCTAAGTGTGGGTTGTACACCGTGACTTCCTTATGAAGAGGGAGCTACCTGGCAGGGGAGGAAGTGACACATAATGGTCTTAGCCAGGTGACCAAGGTCAACATCCACAGTGACTAATCATGTTGCTAGTATTGAGAGGATGTGAATTACCCCAGTCTAACTCTCTGACAACTCCCCGCTGAGGGGCATTCTACAAAATGTCCAACCACGACTCCTCAAAACTGTCAAGGTCATCAAAAACAAAGTCTGAGAAACGATCACAGCCATGGGACATGCTGACAAGGAGACTGGATGAGTACATGGTGCCCTGGGAGGGATCCTGGTATAGAACGAGGACATTTGACAAAAACTAAGGGAATCTGAGTAAACTGCGGGGTTTTGTTGATACGGGTGATTCAGTCTTGGTTCATTCATTGGGACAAATGTGCCCTACTAATGTTAGATGTCAACAAGAGAAACTGGGTGAGGGATTTATAAGGGATATAGATCTCTTTGCCACTTTTCTATACATCAAAAACCTCTAAAAATAAAATGAACACACAAAAACACCACTTGGGTGCAGAATGAATAAAGGTGTCTTTTTGATTGCCTTGCTTCTTGATACACACACACACACACACACACACACACACACACACACACACACACAAATTTAAAATTGAGCCAATATGTTTCCACCTTATCAGAAAAAAGCAGGCTGCTGGGAGGGGAGACAGGGAGTGGTGAAAGGGGTAGACAGGGTCAAGGTCACATAGATATTTGGGGAAAAAAGGGCCTGGATCTCCAATCTCTTGACCACTGGCCCCAGACTGGATGAAGCTCTGTCTCTCATTGGTGCCAGCAGGAGTGGGTCCAGGTGACCTTGGATGACCCTATGAGCTCTCACAGCCTGAGGACCACCCACACTGTATCTGCATCTTTAAAACACTAGAGGCATTGCGCTGGGGGGAAGGGAGGATTTTGGACAGTTCAGTGGGGGTGACGTTATGCAGCAAAGCGTTTCCCAGCATCTCGAAGACCAGGCCATGCAGGCTCTGCTCTTCCAGTGTGTGAGCTCAGGCAACTGAGGCGAGGTCTCTGTGCCTCCGTTTCCTTCCCTGGAAACGGGGACACTGAGAACAGAGGCAAATCGCTGTGAGGATGAGTAAGACAGGCGAAGAGCAACGTTGGGTAACGTCGGCCAATCTTTTGTGCAGAACATGAGCTTAGGACTTTGCTTCTGCTTGAAAATACAGCAGATCCTGGGGCAGAGTGGGGGGAAAGGTCAGAGCAGGGAACAGAAGGGGCATCTGCTCCAACTCTGGGACTTAGCTGGAGGCCCCATACGTAGCAGGAATTCCTATTTTCAGGTACCATCGCCAACCCAATGGATTTTACCTCGGCCAAGGTCAGAATGAGTCCACTGACCAACTCAGCTCATGAATTAGTGGGCATGGTCTATGCCTCGGATCCAGGGCAGCACCTCAGGCTACACGGAAGGTGAGGGCAGCAAAAGGGCCCGATGGCTGAAAGATACGATTCCGTCTGCGTCACATAAAACACGCGTGTACTGCACATGTACAGCTCAGGAGCACCCAGATTGCCTGGGTTCAAATCCCAGCGTGGGTCTCACTCCCTGTGTCACCTGGGGGAAGACACTCAACGGTGCACCTCAGTTACCTCATCTGTAAAATGGGCAGAACAGTCCTTCCTGCCCCAGGGGGCCGCTGTGAGGATAAATTGTTCGGGATTATGGGAAGAATTTAGACGAGTGCCTGGGACAGGAAGCAGTACTGAGTGAACACCAGCTGTCATGGATGTGGGACTTTCCAAGGGAAAGGGCTGGAGAGCTACACATGCATTTCTAGCAGAACTGACCTCTGGGAGCCGAATGGTGGTTGCCGGGGCCCGGGGAGGGAGGAACGGGGCCTGATTGACGGCTAAGGGCTAAGAGTTCACCTGGGGGTGATGCCATGTTTGGAATTAGATAGAGGTGGTGGCTACACAACATCGTGAATGTTAAATCAGGCATTTGGAAATGGCTACTTTTATGTTAACTGAATTTCACCTCCTGAAAAAACAAAACAAAACAAAAAGCCTTGTAGGAACTGGGTTCGTTGACGAAAAACTGGTGGAAGAACTTTTATGATACTCCTTTTTATTTTGTCAATTTTGTCCAGTTTGATTTTTTTTTTTACAGTGAACACTGCATATCCCTTTTATAATTAAACAAATTCACTGTACATTCTTTTTTGAAAGGGAAGGGGCACGTGAGAGGAACTGCGTGGGGGGGGGGTAGGTGGAGGTGGCATTGGGTGAGCGCTGACTCATCCTTCCTGCCCACCTGCCCACTCCCATGGGTGTACCCTGCTGGGAGGAAAGTGCTCTTCATGGCTCCATCTCCACGGGGGAAAGTGAGACTCAGCAAATGTAAGCAGTTGCCCAAGCCACCGAGCCTGATTCCAAAGAAGTTTTGTGGCCCCGTCACACAGCCCTGCTTTCATGTGTCAATAAGGGATGTAAGGTGACTTCTTGGGTCTGTCTGCTTCTGGCTCACTCTGGTCCCCAGACACCTGGCTTAGTTCTCAAAGTGTCAGTCCTGCCTCCGGAGCCCAAAGGCCCAAAGCCCAGCCAGCCATACCGCCCTGCTCTCCAGCGGGAACACCTGCTCTCCAAACAGAGCCCAGCCCCCACTCTCTCCTGAGTTCTGGAGAAACCACCCTGGTGGGGAAGCTAATAAACATAACAAAGGAAACTAATGTGCAGCTCCGGGAAGCTATACCTGCCCCACTGACCACAGGATGGCGAGACCCCAGACTCACCCCGGCCGCCTCCCGGTGCAGGATCCGGGCTGCCTCCGCCCGGCCCAGGCCCAGCTGCAGCCACACCGGGCACGTTTTGACGAGTTTCTCCAGGACGCTGATGCCCCGGGGAGCAAAGCAGTTCTTCGGGGTGACTGGCGGACAAGGCCCCATGCCATCTTCCTCCTCCTCTTCCTCTCTTTTATCAGCCTCTGGACTAGGACTGAAAACAGAATGGAATGGTCAGCTGATTCTGCAGCCCCACGGAGAGGTAGGTTTAGAACTGATGGGGGCTCAATGCAACCTGCTGACTTATTTAGCATCTCAGAAGCCTGTGGCCCTCCAGGGAGTTAGAAATGAATGAACTCTTCACCTTTCGGTGCTTATAACAAAACTAGAGGCCCGATGCACAAAATTCTTGCAAGGGAAGGCCCTCGCAGCTACCATGGCCTCGCCCCCTGCACAGTGGTTGTTCCGGAAGGTCGTTCTGGAAGATTGTTCTGGAAGGTCGTTCTGCCATTTGGTTGACTGGCATATTAGGCTTTCATTATATAGGGTGGGTGAAACATGCATAGAAACAACCAGCTGTAGGACAGCACTGGAGTGAACATCACAGAAACACAAGGTAAGGTGGGTTCAGAGGCCTGGGGCAGGGGTGAGGCAGAGGGTGCATTTGGCGTAACTGCGAACAGGCTCTTAAAAACCTTTGCACATGTAGCTTACACACACTGAAATGCACGAGTCTCTAGCATACAGTGAGCCACATTCTGGCTATAACCCGGATCAAGACAGAAAACTGTTCTGTCTGATACTGTAGCTGCATGTGGGAACTGAGCTCTGAAAAATGGCGCTCAAGCCTGGCCTGTGTGGCTCAGTGGTTGTGTGTCAACCTATGAACCAGAAGGTTGTGGTTCCATTCCCGGTCAGGGCACATGCCCGGGCTGCAGGCTTAATCCCCAGTGGGTACGTGCAGGAGGCAGCCAATCAATGATTCTTTCTCATCATTGATGTTTCTATCTTTTTTTTTTTTTTATAATATATTTTATTGATTTTTTTACAGAGAGGAAGGGAGAGAGATAGAGAGCTAGAAACGTCGATGGAGAGAAACATCGACCAGCTGCCTCTTGCACACCCCCTACTGGGGATGTACCCACAACCAACGTACATGCCCTTGACCGGAATCGAACCTGGGACCTTTCAGTCCGCAGACTGATGCTCTACCACTGAGCCAAACCGGTTTTGGCATGATGTTTCTATCTCTTGCTCACTCTCCCTTCCTCTCTGAAATCAAAACAAAAATATATTTTTAAAGAAGGGTGGTTTGGGAGCCGGGAGTTTAGAGTACCGGGTGAAAAGGTGGAGGGATTGCCAAAACCGGTTTGGCTCAGTGGATGGAGCAGCAGCCTGCGGACTGAAGAGTCCCGGGTTCGATTCAGGTCAAGGGCATGTGCCTTGGTTGCGGGCACATCCCCAGTGGTGGGCGTGCAGGAGGCAGCTGATCGATGTTATTCTCTCATCGATGTTTCTAACTCTCTATCTCTCTCTCTTCATCTCTGTAAAAATCAATAAAATATATTTTTTAAAAAGGTGGAGGGATTGAGGAGTACAGATTGGTAGTTTCACAACAGTCACAGGGACATGAAGCACAGCACAGGGAATATAGTCAATGATACTGTAATAACTTTTATGGTGCCAGCTGGGTACTGGAAATATTGGGGGGGACACTTTGTAAAATAATGATTGTCTAACCACAATGCTGTACACCTGAAATGAATACAAGCTAATATTGAATGTACAGTTATTTAAAAAAAAAAAAAAAAGTGGGTTGTCTGAGTTGAGACCTGCACACAGGGTTTTGAACACTATTGACATGGAAAAAAAAAAGACGGTAAATAGCTCATTAATAATAACTTACGTTGATTATATTCTGAAATGATAATCATTTAGATATACTGGGTTAAATAAGACATTAATAGTAAAATTAATGCCACTGATTTCCTTTTGCTTTCTAAACGTGGCTACTAGAAAATCTAAAACTACAAACGAGGCTTGTGTTCCACCTGTTGGACGCGCTGATACAGACATTTCCCAAGGTGTCTCCTGACCCCCTCCCAGTCAACATCCCTGCCCCCACCAGGAAAACGTGACAGGCCAGGGCGGGCGAAGGAGGAGAGTCTCAGGCTTAAGAAACAGCAGAACCAAAGCAGAGGTCCAGTTTAGGAGATCTCCTGCCCAGAGCACCCCACACCCCCCACACTCTGATTCTAGAAAAGGAGGGAGGCAACTGAGTGACTCAAACCCACAGTCAGGTGGGCTGCGTGGTCTGTTTGCATCCTACCGGAGGGGGGGACCAAGTCTGCAGGGGCGAAGCCTTAATCAGACCAAAGGGGGTAGTTAGCTATGAAGCCAGGAAGGTGTGGCTCTTTGCCCTGGGAGTCCCTGTGATGCTGCCCAGGGGACCCCGTGGTCAGGGTTGGCATTTGCTGTTGGGAAAGGCCCGGAGGGGTGGGGGGGATGAGCCAGGATGGAGCCACTTCCTGGGGCATGGGGAGGGGGCAGAGGGCAGCAGGACCCAGAAGTCCTGATAAGGGAACAGCATTTCCTAAAGAGGAGGGTGGAGTCCTGGTGGTGGTTGGGGTGGGGGGGGGGGAAGGTGAGGAGGCCCTGGGAAGTGCTGGATTAAACCGTCCAGCAGACCTGTGCTGTGTTAAGCAGGTGGGTTTTGCAGGGAGATGTGAGGTATGAGGGTCACTGAGCTAAAATCCCTGCTCTGCCGCCCCCACCCCAAAGCCTCCGAGAGGCCCTCTCTCTCATGGATGCTGTGTGGTGTGTGCTTATGGTGGGTGTTTATGGATTTCCCTCTGGGTCCACACAGAAGCCAGTGCCGGGTTACCAGGACAACAGGAGTGTCCCAGGCAGCAGCGGGCACCATGGGGCTGGGGTTGTGGGGGCAGCAGGGCAGTCTCAGGGGTGTTCACAGGCTGTGAAATTGGGGCCTGGTGGGTCTCATTTGGAGCTCAAGACCGGGGAGGCCCAGCTGATGTTGATGCAACCTCTTCCCAAGCCCTAAAGCGTGGCTGCAGCTTCTCCTCTGGGAGAGAAGTTGAATCAGAGGAGCCAGAATTACCCAGAAAACAAGCACTTCGAGGCCCATTAGTTTCCTCTAACCTCCCCGACTCCCCTGAAAACCAAAAATATCTTCTGGCACCAAAAGGCTTGATGATCATCCTCAAATCTCCTCCCTTGGCCCAGAGCCTCCCTGGGGGGCAATTAGGACTCTAATGGCAGCTGGGGCGAGAGCTATAGGCTCCTTTCTGCCCTGCCACAGACTAGGCAAGTCCGGTCCCTCTCAGGGCCTCACTCTCCTCATCTGTGCAATGGGCAGGGGGTGGCCGGGAAGATTCCTCCATTGGCTGAGTGGCCCTGGGTGACCCCTGGGAGAAAAGAGGTGTTTGCTCGCATTCATTCATTCTATGAATATTTTCTGAGGGCCTGCAAGTGCCAGATGTTGGTCTAGGCACTGGGTTAGAGCAGGGAACAGAATGATTTAAACACACACACACACACACACACACCCCAAAACCTAGTTATAGAGCCAGGAAGACATGGCTCCTTGCCCTGTGAGTTCCTGTGATGTGGCCCAGGGGCACCTGGGATCAGGGCTGGCATGTGCTGTTGGGAGAGGCCTGGGGGAGGGATGAGCCAGGATGGAGTCACTTCCTGCGGGGGTGGGGGTGGTGGTGATGGACAAGGACAATGAGTGACGTAGAGTATGTCATGATGAATGGTGCTAGCGAGGGGAGGAGAGTCCAGACACAGGGCTTATGTTATCTGGTCTAGAAAAAAAACTGCAAGGAAGCCAGGGAGGTGGCAGGAGCCAGGGAGAGGGCGAGGTCCGCATGGGGAAGGACAGGAGTCCCGGTAAGGATGCTGGGACTCTAAACCCATGTACATGGAGCCCTAACTGGTTTGGCTTATGGACAGAGTGTTGGCCCTTGGACTGAAGGATCCCGGGTTTGATTCCAGCCAAGGGCAGGCTTGATCCCCGGCTCTGGTTGGGGGGTGTGCAGGAGGCAACCAATTGATGTGTCTCTCTCACATCCATGTTTCTCTCTGGGTGTCTCTCCTCCTCCCTTCCACTCTCTCTAAAAAACAATGGGAAAATATCCTCAGGTGGGGATTAGCAATAAATAAATAAATAAATAAATAAACAAACAAACCAATGCACGTGGACGCCTTCCCTGGGCTACCCTCTGACAATTGGCCCACGCCAGCCCCAGGCTTCTTTGGTGAGAAATGGGCCCCTTAAGTCCTAGTGGGGACTGGAGAGTCTTTGAGGAGCCACAGAGATGAACCTGCAGCTCCCAGCTCCCTGGCAGGTCACACATTGCTTTCAAGGTGACCAAGAAGAAACTCTGCTCTCGCTTCCCTGGGAGCATGCCATCCCTCTCTTGCAATCACACCGTCCCCTGCTCTGAAGCCTGCAATGGCCCTCACTGCCTAAGGAATCAGTCCCACCTCCTAACACTGAAGGTGTTCCTTTTCTGAACAGCACCTCCCTGCAGACTCCCCTACAAAGGGCTGCTCATCACCCAGCCAAAGCTGCCTTCCCCGCCTGGGCTCCTGCAGGTTCTCTATCACCTCCTCCAACATGCTCTCCAATGGGGGGGCAACGGCTTACTGGATTGGACCCAGAAGGCAAGAGCGATACAGGAAAACACGGATAAATCAGATGCATCACAATTTAAACTTGAGTCCATCAAAATACCTCCTTCAGAAAAATGAATACTCAAACCACAGGCAGGGAGAAAATATTTGCAAAGCATGCATGCAACAGAGAACAAGCAAACTAATTTATAAAACGGGCCAAAGATTGATGTGTCTCTCTCACATCCATGTTTCTCTCTGGGTGTCTCTCCTCCTCCCTTCCACTCTCTCTAAAAAACAATGGGAAAATATCCTCAGGTGGGGATTAGCAATAAATAAATAAATAAATAAACAAACAAACCAATGCACGTGGACGCCTTCCCTGAAGAAGAAGAAGGCATACCAATGGCCAAAAAAGAAAGCAGGTGAGAGAGAGCTCACCTCATTAGTCACCAGGGAAATGCAAATTGAAACCACAATGACATACGGTGTCCCAACCACCAGCATGGCTAACATTACAAAGCCCGCCACCATCGCATGGTAGAGGATGGATGTAACCAGAACTCTCCTACATTG